TTTACTTATCTGTAAATAAAAATGTACAAAGCACTTACACTTTTATAGTTAAAGCAAAAATATATAATTGAAAGAAATATATTTTCTGCTTGATAAAAAATATTGTTGCTCTGTAATAATCTTGTAAAGTCTCAAAATCCACTTGACTTCTTGAAAATTCTATCATTTTTTGAATTTCTGTAGGAATATGCAGTACAGGCACATTCTCTATTAAAGGACTTTCATTTTTGAAAACGAATAAAACTGGATCCTAAGATAAAATTATTAACTTAAAATCAGAATTATACGATATAAGAAACAAAGTGAAATAAATTTGTGAAAATTTTAAGCTCATTTAATAAAAACTGCATTATGTGCAGTATTGTTATACCTGAATTTGTGATAGAAGTGGCATGTGGTTTTCAATAAGAATTTTACCAAAATAATCTGTCAAAGTTTGTTGATTTACTGGTATATTTGTATCCTTTTCTATCATAGATTGCAAATCCGTAATACTACTAGAATCCACTATTTCATATCCATTAAAACTGTATGTTGATGCAGAGAATACATAAACGATCTGAAAAGGCTAAGCATGTATATTATAATTAAAAATTTTAATACATAGTAAGTTGCACATTTAATTACCGGTTTTGATAAAATGGAATGCAATAATTTAAATACTACTAGTTTTGATGTTCCAGTTTCATCATATTTTCCTCTTTTCTTTGGATTCCATTGTAATACTACTTTAAACCATTCTACCAATTTATTTTTAAGACATCTAATAAAACCACAATATACTAAAATAAAGTCAATAGTTTATTATACTTTATTAAGAAATTCTATAGGTATTACTTTGACAAGTTTGTAGGACTGGCAATATCTTGACCAAAAACTATTTTCCCCTCTGATTTAAAAGCACAAATATCATCATATCCTTTATTTCTGATATGTTGCATCCTGTAAAATAAATAAGTTAAGTAATATTGAGATTTTTGTTCTGTCATTTCTCATAATTATATAGCATACCATGACATAGTATGTTGCATATTTGATAAGAATGGTCTTGTACCAGTGACAAGTTCATAAAAAAGAATGCCCAAACTCCAATAATCTACAGAACAACTATATGTTTGTTTCCATAGTAGCTCTGGAGCTACATAATTCAACGTACCTACTAATGATCCAGATGTACTATTTTCACCAAGTTCTTTTGCATATCCCAAATCTATTAATTTATATGAAATCTAAAACACATTTTATATAAATACTGTTGCTATTGTTTTCTTTTTCGATGTAGTGCATTTGAAATGTATTACTCACAGTATTATGTTCATCCTGTAAAACTATATTCTCAGGCTTTAAATCACGATGAGTAATATTATTAGAATGTAAGTATTCTACTGCAGAAGAAATATCCTTCATTACATTAATTGCTTCTTTTTCACTAACACCACAGCAATTTTCTACTTTATTTAAAACCTAAGGATTAAAACATATTGGTAATATAAACATTATTTTAATTTTATTAATTACAAAAGAGTAGATAGATATCAACATTTACCTTTCTGAGATCACCTTTTCTACAAAATTCCATACAAAGTACAGGTAAATCTACTTTGTCATTAGGATGTTTAAATGGTAACTCTAATCCTTTAATAATATTGGAATGTTTTAACCGTTTCATTATCTGCACTTCATGAATCCATCTTTTTTGTTGTGTTTCTGTTAATTGTGCTGTATCTTTTTTACATATTTTGATTGCTATGATTCATAAAACATTCTATAATTTATTAAGACCGTCCACCAAAATATTAACTGTTTAAAATTCTCATTGTATTTTATTTTTAAAACTGTAAACATACCGAGCTTTTTACCGCTTGTATGTACCCAAAGCTCAACAATACCAAATCCTCCACAACCTAGAACCCTTTCAAGATTCCATCCCTCAATGAGGACTGGTGTAGCATTCATGTTAAATGTTTTACCTAAAAATTAAGCAAACAATTTAACCCTCATACGGACCTCGGGTGAAATTTCACCCATTTTCGGTTTCTAAGTTTTATAAAATGTTTGATTTTTTTCTGATTGAGCTGTAATTTGATGTATTTATCTAAAATGTAAAATTATAAGTAAAACACAGTTTGTTGACATTTCATTTTGACATATTAATAAAGTAGAAAAAAATGTAACGAGAGTCCCTCGGGTGAAATTTCACCCGACTACGGTACGCGTATAAATGTATTATATATTATCGTCAAAAAAAGCTATAACGTTATTTCTTTTGTTCATATGTATGTCTGTTGAAATTCATTTCTCAAGGTTTTATATTCTAAGAACTCCTTCCAATTACTGGAAATGTTTTATTACAATGTTTATATGGGTGATACTTTGTTCATACGATTGTGGGAACAGTTCGTTCGAATAAAACTTTCCTTCCAGCTATTGAAAAAAAAAAAAATTCGTCGACTTCCTATTTACTCCAGTAAATTTTATTTATCTGATAAAATAACTTTTGTTCAATATGTTCCAAAAAAATATAAAACTGTAACTGTCGTGAATACCTTGCATCATAACGAAAGTATATCTACAGATAATAAGAAATTGCCTTAAATTGTTTCATATTATAATAAGAGTTGGTGTTAATTATTTCATATTATAATAAAAGGTGGTGTTGACGTTTTGAATCAATTAGTTGGCACATATACTGTCAAACGAAAAACAATCGTTGGCCATTTGTAATTTTTACAAATATTATCGATGTTTCGGGAGTAAACACTTATGCATCATGGACAAAAACTTATCCAAGCTGGAAGAAGAATAAACTGTATAGAAGACGCTTGTTCCTAGAAGAACTCAAAGAATTATTAGCGAGAGACGTAAATAGAAGACCAGTGTTACCAAGAGGCGAAGCATCTTTATCACTAGTCAAAAATTTGCAAGAAACTGCTGGTCCGTCAAATGTTTTACCAACAATAAAAAAAAGAAAAATATCAACACGGGCTCGATGCCAAATATGTATTGGGAAAGATAGAAAAGCATATGCATCGTGTGAGATTTGTAACAAGTATGATGTGATGAACACAAAACTGCGATTTATGTATGTAGTAACTGTAAATGATTGTAATTGTAAAATACAATGTAATACATATAATATAATATTTATTTATACAATAAGATAAAAATATAATATAGTTACCATTTCTGAGGACCGTATGAGGGTTAAAGGAATTCAAATCGAAATTAAATTGTAAATAAAAAAAATTATACAAGAAAAACAAACTTATTTCAGTGACATAATTACATTTGACATTTTTTTAAAGAATAAACACTGTTACGTTCCGTGGTCTTCCCTCGAAGGAAAAAATGTACCTAGACGAGGACCAATCGACCTGTGCCAAGGGGCGTAAACAAACAAAGATCAGAAATTACTTATAATCCTTTAGCCATGCTTAAAAAATCATTTAAAAGAAAGTTTATAGATCAGTATTTCCTACATATGCGATCTTTTTGTATTTTCTAAGGTTATTTATACAAAAAATTATGCATTGCTTTTATTTAACAATGTATTGCATTCACCATCTTTTCCTGAAATATTCATTTAGGGATATTTATTGCATAGACTCCGTAGCGCAACGGTAGCGCGTCTGACTCCAGATCAGAAGGTTGCGTGTTCAAATCACGTCGGGGTCAAAAATAATTTTCTAATTTTTTTGAATCTAAATATATAATTTATCTATTTTTACTAACATATCGATTTTCTTCAACTTAAAAAAATTAGGAACTCATAATATTGGTATATAAAATATTTATTAAAACTTTTATTGAAAAAAGTGTTAATAGAAAACTAATCAAATTTGTAGCTTACAAGTAACTACTCAAAAATAAATAATTGATTCATATTTTTTCTTCAAATCCTTAAAAAGTTATTAAAAATATTACATTGTACTATTTTTTGATTGGATTGTAACAAAAAAGATGTACACATATACTTTAAAATAGTACACAGGTATAAGGAATAGACGATCTGAAATACAAGTATAAATATGATCCTTTAACCATGCTTCCATAAAAAATCATTTAAGAGAAAGTGTACGGAACAGTATGTCTTACATATGAGATTGATTGCCTTTGCATTTTCTAGGGGTATTTTGTATATAATATTGTACATTGCTTTTACTCGGCAATGCATTGCATTTACTGTTCTTTATAAACATATTTAAACATATTTACTGCATAGACTCCGTAGCGCAACGGTAGCGCGTCTGACTCCAGATCAGAAGGTTGCGTGTTCAAATCACGTCGGGGTCAAAAATATTTTTTTAT